CACACACACACACACACACACACACACACACACACACACACACACACACATCTGTGATGCCCAGAATAAAGAAAGCACGCAGATATGCCTGCCTGCCGCCATGCCTCCCTGGGTGAGCCATTGTGGATGGGAACAGCTGAAGTTGGTCTGGCTCAGCCTCTCTCCCTGGGAACAGGGAATTGCTGGGAGGAACTGGTGCTGGGCTCTGCAAATTACAGAATCTTTCAATGCTCTATGGTTTTCCCCTAAGTTTCTTTTTGGTAAATTATTTGGCTACCTGTCTCTTTCAGAGTGAGTGGGACAGCAGAGTCCGGAGCGGGGGTATGCCTTTTATCTTGTTTTTATGATCTAGAGAACAGGTTTGGGCAGCCTTGGGAAGCTTGACAGTGGGTGCCCAGCAGGCCTGCTCAATCCAGTCTCCCCTGGTTCCTAGGAAAAACATTTGCACACACCCAAGCAAGAGCTATCCTGTTTTCCATGATGCAGAATAAGCAAGTGTCCTGTGACTTTTAAAAAGAAAACTTGGCTCTCCTCTCGGTCAGTTGATAAGCACCGTAAAAGCAAGATTGGGTTGTTTTGCTTACAGCTGAATCTTAGAGCCTTGACCAGTGCCTGGCACATGGGCTCTCAACAGTTAGGTTGAGCTAGTGAGCTAGCGCAACAAGTATCTTTCTGAGTGAGAACAGCTGAAGGTCGGAGGGAAGTGGTTCTCAGACTTGGCTAGCTGCAGAAGCACGGGAGGGAGCCTTAAACATCTCGCTATGCCCAACTCAGACCTGTTGTGTAGCTGTTCCAGGGGAGAAGCAAACCAACACCCATTCACCCCAAACAGGAACTGACAACAGACCAAAGCGCAAATGCCGCCAAAGTCTAACTTGGTAAAGCCAGTCAGTTCTGTTGGAGTTACTTAAAGGAATATAGGTGAGGCTGAACTTACAGCAGCAGAAATGACTCCAAGAGCAAAGCTCACCCCAGCATGGGTGACAGCTCACAAAGCTGGGAACCTGGAGCTCACTGCATAGTGTAGTCAGCTCAGTAGGTGGGAGAGCATCCTTTGCGCAGAGCTCAGAGAGGAAGCTCAGCTGGTCCCCTCTTCCTCCAGGCAGCTCAGCTTGTCTGACAGGGTCTCTCCTTTGTCCTTATTGCTTGGACAAACCTGGGGAGGGAGGTTTAACCTCTCTTTCGATTTCAGTAGCTCAACAAGATTTCCCCCATTGGTGCACGCCTTTAATCCCAGCACTCGGGAGGCAGAAGCAGGTGGATCTCTGTGAGTTCGAGGCCAGCCTGGTCTACAAGAGCTAATTCCAGGACAGGCTCCAAAGCTACAGAGAAACCCTGTCTCAAAAAAACAAAACAAAACAAAAACAAAAAACAAACAAACAAAAAAAACAAACAAACAAGATTTCCCCCAAGATGGAAGGTTTTGATCTCAGAAGAAACCATGCAGAGAGCCCACACCTACCTATCAGGATTTTTAGACGGGACACCAGGCATCAGGATTTACAATTCTCTGGGTTACGCCAGTGTGTAACCAAGCACACGGAGCCTCTGCATGTGTTGCACATGTGTTATACTTGTGCTGCACATGTGTACACATTTTGTCACCCTGGGTGAGGTTCCTGGTCCTGCAGGTATAAGATCGCTTGAGTTCTTAGTAATGAATAGGTTCAGCCCACCTTCCTGCCGAACCTAAACCTGCATTTTACTAAAGTCCTGGCATGGAGACCACCCTGGGAGACTTTACAGGTTAGGATGGTACTGAGACCCCTTGTGGGTGTGGCCTTAAGGGCAGAGTAACAGAAAGCAAGTTTGCAAAGCAAGCTGGGAAGTTTGGACGACTCAGTGAGAAGGCCGTGGAGAGCTGTGAGAAAACCTTGCGTATATATATGATCACAGACACATATGGGAAGAGCGGTTACTGGGGACATGCCCCAGCGGTGGGACCGGAGTCTCAGATTATTGCCTTCTCTTGCAGGTGCTGCTCCCGGCAGCCAGCTTGCTGCAGCTCATGGACGTTCGGCAGAACTGCTGTGACTTTCTGCAGTCTCAGCTGCACCCCACCAACTGCCTGGGCATCCGCGCATTCGCAGACGTGCACACTTGCACCGACCTCCTGCAGCAGGCCAACGCCTACGCAGGTAAGGCCAGTCGGCCCGCGTTTGTTTCCTCAGGGCTGGTGGGTTTGGCCACCAGGGCTGTGGAGGACCCGCTGAGGTTTTGAGAAGTTGTTCCTACGGCAGAGCCGTGATGATTTGGTTAGGGAGACAAAGCATAGACAATTAACAGTAGACAAGTTTCACTCGTTGCCAAGTGGAATGTGGCTGATTTGCCCGTGGGAAATAGCCAGCAGAGAAATGTCTGAGGAGTCTTGGGAGTGTGTGTTAGTGTGTGTGTGTGAGAGAGAGAGTGTATATGAGTATGTGAGTGTGTATGTGTGAATTTGTATGTGTGAATGTATGTGTATGATTGTGCATGATTTGTGTGTGCATGTGTAGCATAAACTGAGCTTAGGGTTGAAATAGATCTTTTTTGTTTAAGACCAATTTCCTTTGGTTAAATTGTTCTTTGTAGATGATATTGAAAGTTAAACACATTCTGGGCTCCCGGTGATTAGCAGGTGTCCTCTGTGCACACTGTTTTGCTTTCTACACTCACTATTTTTAATTGCACCTGTGATTCAGCCCTGTAGAGGCAGGAGGATCACTGTAAGTTCACGGCCAGTGTGGCCTACATGATAAAACCCCATGTCAAAACCAAAACAAAAGCAAACAACCAGCCAACCCCCAAACGAGAATGAGATTGCAGAGTGTTTGTAACTCTTGCCTCCCACAGCTTCCAGTTTGCAGATCAGGGTAGCTCCGTGAGCCACCAGGGAGTTTGGTTTTTTTTAAGATTTGGAAGCACAGGCAGGTGGGTCTGGGGTTCCTCTTCTCCCCTCCCTAGTCTTTAGCCAGCTGGGCTCTGCATCCATTCGTCTGCCACCCCTAGCTTGTCTCTAAACTCTTGCTTTTACAACAAATGCTGCTTTCCCCCCAACACTTTGTTCCTATTTCAGCTTTAACACAAAAGCCGTCACCGGCCGTTTCAGAAAAACAGACTGAATGACCATGAGCGGCGAGCGGTTCCATCAGAGGGAGGCCAGGCAGGGCCTTCGTGTGCTCCTCTTGGATCTCTCTCATTGGACATATATGTTTCACGGGCTGGAGAGATGGCTCAGTGATTAAGTGCACTGGCTGCTCTTCCAGAGGACCTGGGTTCTGTTACCGGCATCCACATGGTGGCTCTCAGCCACCTCTAACTCCAGTTCTGGGGATCTGATGCCGCCTTCTCTTTGACTTTCAAGGGCACGAGGCAGGCATGTGGTGCACTGACATACGTGCTGGCAAACACGCATGCACATAGAAAGTGTTCCCAAGGTTATAAACCTTCTTGGTAGGTTCCGGCAGCTTCCTGTATCCACAGTTATATTTCCATACCATTGCACTAAACTTGGTAATAGATATATACTGTCATATGAAGTAGGCTATCTTCCTTTCTGCCCAGAAGTGAAGGTTTGAAAGCTCGCCAGTCTGCTGCCTTTTCTGAGAGGGTCAGGGGAGAATATTGGGTATTGCTATAGGACGTAAGGATATGTATTTTAACGGACACAGATGCATTCTACACACATTGTACTTTAAAATTTTTAACATCTTATTTTTTTTTATGTGTTTGGATGTATGTCTGTGTACCATGTGTGTGCTTGGTGCCAATGGAGGCCAGAAGAGGGCATTAGATCTCCTGGAACTGGAGTTACAAGCAGTTGTGAGCCACTGTGTGGGTACCGGGTACTGACCCAAGTCCTCTGGAAGAGCACCCGGGGCTCTTGACTCATGAATCACCACACCAACCCCTACCCATTATACTTTCATTTGACCTAATAGAAAAACTTAGAATCATGTCTAGATTCTTAAGGCTGTTCATTTTAATGTGTGTGTGTGTATGTGTGTGCTTATATGATGTGTATGTGTGTATGATGTGTATGTGTGTGTATGTGTGTGTATGTGTGATATGGGTATGCCATACTTGACTAGTATTTTGTTGATGGATATTAATGCTTCCAGTTTTACTTTTATAGAATATGCTTCAGGAAGCATTAAATCTTTTTACATTTATTTTATTTTGGGTGGGGGCTCCTGGATCCATGGTCATGCAGAGGTTAGAGTGCAACACACAGGAGTCAGTTTCTTCTCTGACCCTGCGTGGTCTTGGGATTGAACTTAGGTTGTAGGCCTTGTTTGCATGCACCCTGCTTGTTGGCCTTCGGTAAAGTAAGCATTTCTTATGCCTAGACTTTTGGAGTGTACTTTGCAGGATATAATCTCGTCAGCATAATGGGATCAAAGAAAATTTACATTTAAACTGATGTGGCTGGAGATAGAGCATAGCGTGGTGGCCTAGTGTGCTGGGCCCTGTGGAGAGCAGTCAGTGCTGACCTAGTGTGTGCTGGGCCCTGTGGAGAGCAGTCAGTGCTGACCTAGTGTGTGTGGGCCCGAGTATAGCGGTGCTGGCCTAGTGTGTGTGTGTGATTTCCAATTCTCTGTACACGGAAAGAGGACAGATACACACTGTCAAGTTTTTCTCCTTTTAAAAGAAAAAGAAGGAAAAGAAAAGAAGCCAGCTCTTGCTTTCTGATTAGTCTCCGTCCTTCCAGGTGATAGGAGAACTCCGTACGTGTGTGCACGTGTGTGCGCACACGTGTTGGGAAGCATCACCTCTATCGGCAGTCTGTCTGGTTTCCTGTCTGGAACGACCCCGGCTCTTGCAGCTGCGGCAGTCTTTCCTGCTTCCTCCGGGTCCGGTTTTACTTGCAGGGTGATATGCTGCGACTTTTGCCCCATGCTGTCGTGTTTGCTCTGTGTGGGAGGAGAGCAGGTCTACACTTACAACTGACTGCTCAGATCTCTGCCCTCAGCTGACAGCGCCCCAGTCCTTGTGGGTCGCTGGAGGCTGGAAATGGTCGAGTTTTGCACACCCTGTTTCTTATCCCTCATAATTGTGGCTGACTGCTTAATCTTTAACCTCAGAGGTCAGGGCCGGGTTATGAGGACTTTGTTGTTTGAGAGTTAGAGGGTCATGTGCCTGGGCCATCAGCAGAGCTGTTTAGGGGATTTTAATGGGGCCTCATTAAGGCAATGGCAATTAAAATTCTTTCGGTATGTTGTTTACATCAACTTGCCAAAGCTGGGCTGAAACCCTCCAGCCACAAGATGGAAAAGCCATTTAATTTCATGTGCTCATGAAGAGAAATGTCCCCCTAGTTTTGATTGATTAGGTCATTTGGTGGAATGAAGTAATTAAATCAAGGGCAGAAAAGTTTTACAAAGCTTTTTAAAAAGTGAATCCCTGGCCCAATGAGACCCTTCTTGTGACTGGCTACACCCAACATGGCAAGAGGAGAAGGTGATGGTGGTGGTGGGGGCTTTTACTGTTCTGAACACGTGCTGTGACCCAGACCCAGTGCCCCAATAGCATGGATGACTGGGCAGTTTTAAAGAACCCATGGCAGTGTGTGTGCACGTGTGTGTGTGTGTGTGTGTGCATACGTGTGTGTGTGTGTGTGTGTGTGTGTGTGTGTGTGTATACACTTGAAAGAGCAAGAGGAGCATACATGTATAACTTGGAGGGAACATAGACTACATGGAGATTTCCTACCTTCTGTGGAAAGGCAGAAGAATATCTGGAGTCTGAGGGCCTGTGACTCTCTGCCTCTTCTGGGAAGAAGTCAGGGAGGACTCTGCTGCTTCCCTGTGGAAGCCTCGGTTTTTCCTTGGAGCAGAGGTGCAGTAGGGCTGAAAAGTCAAATCCTGACTCAGGAAAGCTGACCTCTGCTCTTCAAAAACAGGACAATAAGGAACTGAGCGGGGTTGGGGGGTGGGGCGGGCAGGGTCGGGAGCACCTAGGCAGTTCTTTTAAAGTTTCCTTTCCCCCACCAAGTGCTTGACTCTGCTCAAGCCCTTTGGTGTCAGCCGGGATTCCCAGAGACTGTGTCCAGTAGCTCAGTTCATGGACTTTCCTCACGGGTCCTGGAGTTTGTGGGTTCACGTCACCTCCGTAAGTCAAAGACATTACAGATAGATTATGAGTTCCTTTATCCCGAGCTCATAGCTTAGTTGGTCCAGAGCAAAGATCTGGTTAATTTTATCCCATTAAGAGAAAAGGCTGGGCTTGGAGCTCACTGGGGAGGTGGCTCCAAGCCAGAGTCCTAAGCCGTCCTAAAGAACATGGCAGGAGCATTCAATAACTGCAGATACACCAAGTGGGCTGGGTCCTGAGAGCTCAGCTCTGATGAGGCAGATTTGGAGCTTGCCCTCATGGGTTCCCCAGACCCTGCACAGAGGAAAGACCTCATATGATAAAGCAGTGCCCATGGGGACCAGAAGAGGGCATCAGATCCCAGGAATTGGAGTTCCCAACAGTTGTGAGCTGCCATGTGGGGGCTGGGAACTGAACCAGGCCTTCTGGAAGAGCAGTCAGTGTTCTTCGCCTCCATGCCATCTCTCCAGACCAAGGCACCCCCAGAGAGTGCTTTCCTGTCATCAGACGGCATTGCTTTCAAAGTCTGGCTTCACATTTACTGTTGTGTGAACCTGAGTAGGAGACACAGGCTTTATTCTTCTGTTCCTTCTGTCTCTAATGTGGAAAGACTGGTATTCACTTTGTTAGGGTTTTGGAGAAAATTAAATGATTCTCTCTCTCTCTCTCTCTCTCTCTATATATATATATATATATATATGTGTGTGTGTGTGTGTGTGTGTGTATTGCATATAATATGATATAGTAATATAAATATATGCTACATATATATTTTTTCCCAGTGCAGTGTTAGCTAGAATTAGGAAACATCTCACTCAACCTTCTCTGGCCAACCATGCCCCCAGAGAAAGCCCTGTCGACCCTGAAGTAAACACCATGTGTTGTTTGGCATGGGGGAAAGTCTGCAAGTTACATGAAGACTCTCTCTTGTCCACAAATTCTCATTCAAATGGACAGACACACACACAAATGATTTCATCACCAGCACTTGGGATTCAAACTGTGTTTGTTATTGATAGTAAGGGCTGGTTCGTTATAATGGTGGCTAGGACCCTTGATTCTGTTAATTCCTTCCTGTTATTCCTTCTAGGGAAATAGGAAACAAATGACAATGAAGGTTGTAATGTATTATTGGAGGGTCACCCTTTTTGGGCTGGGCCAGGGTCACAGGACGCTCTCTATCTCTGTATGAGTACCTCTCTAAGACCTAGCTCTCTTTGGCATCTCCCTCGGATGACATGGGGCCCCGTATGTGGCATGTGGCTGGATGAATAAAGTAGAGCCTGGAGCTCCACTAGACTGTGGCCGTGGCATCTCCCTCTGACAACATGGTCTGCCACATGTAGCATGTGTTGCAGGATGGCTGAAACAGAGCCCGGGGCTCCGCTAGACTGAGCTCAGTGTTCTCTGCACAATTCTCTATTTTTTCCCACGATTCTGCTGTTTTTATACTGGAGGTGCCTCTTTGAGAGACCACTCAGCCCAGTCCTCAGCCCAGAGTCCTCTGTAATCAGCACGTTAGAATCAACAGGAGAGGGAACAGGAGAGATCAAGCAAACCTAACAATCATGGCCCCCAGTTTGAGGCTGGGATTGTTTGGGGCCAGCAAGCCTGTTTGTAGGCATCGCCTTGGTTTGCTTGATATTTGAAGAAACCACGTTTGGAACATCATATGCTGACCTAGTGCTGGGAGGGTCTCAGTAAATGCAAGTTTCAGATATTTGCTTCTTTTAAGGCTCACAACTCTTTTATGAGCCGTTCTATTAAGAACTGAGAAAATAGTAGCCTTGGAAGACTGAATGCTCGCATGACCATAGAGTTTGCTGAATTCAGTGAAATTAAATTTGATGTCTGAGATCTTTCAGGACCATCACCCCACCATCTCACAGGGTGCCCCACAGCTGTGGAGAGGCATCCCTGACAGAGCCGGACTGTCCGCAGCCGGACTCTGTAATGGGGAACGGGCCAATAAACTTAGGGAATCCAGTGTAGACTAATATTCATTATTGTTTTTGAGCCTCAAGTAAGACCTAGTTCAAATGTTTTGGTTATATTTTATCAACAGTGAGCTCAAAGTCTGGAAAAAGTGACCACGAGGCCTTCTCTTAGCCGAGGCTCTTTGTTGCATCCTGCATCAGTACATTAAAGGGGCCGGCGTAGCTGTGCCTGCCTGCCCTTGGGAACCTGAGACAGGCGGATTGAGAGAATGGCCAACCTGGGATACAGAGCAAGGACCTGTGTCAAAATGACATCAGAAAACAACCAGCAGCAACAACAATGAAATCTACAATATATAAAGTACCAAAATAAAAAAAATATATAAAATATACCTGATTCAAAACAAAGCAAAGAAAAATCAAGCAACTGTTAAACACCTGCAGGAGGCAGAGTGGGTGCTTCTCGGGGGCACGTCTTCTGAGGACGCCTTTCTTCTAGGGGGCATGCAGAGGGATTAACTTGGGTCCACAGTCTTCTGGGGATACCCTTCTTCCCAGGAAGCTCAGTTTGGTGCCACAAATCATTCTTGATTTTTTTTTAAATCGTGTTTCTTTTTATAAATTAAAAAAAGATTGTGACCCTGTTTGCTTGCATGTCCATCTGTGCAGCACATGCAGGCAGTGCCCACAGTGGCCAGAAGAGGGCGTGAAGTCCCCTGGAACTGGAGGTGCAGATAGTTGTGAGCTATCCTGTGGGTGCTGGGTCCTCTGCAGAAGTCAGTGCTCTAACCTCTGAACCACCCTCATGTCTCTTAAGCCCGTTGTTTCTAAAGTGTAGCTAACAGAAAGGGGACTCTGGGCTGAAGACTGTGGCTAATGTCTCCTCAGACTGAACAGAGAAATAGGATACTCCCCATTCCCCCTTCTTTGCTCCCCATCCTTCTCCCTTCTTCGATTTCTCCCCTCCCCTCCCCTCTTCCCCTTCCCTCCCCTCTCCTCCTATCCCTTCCCGTCCTTTCCCTTTCCTTTTTCAAGTGTACTTTATTTCTTCCCCCTTCTTATTTTAAGGCCTCAAGGGGCGCAGCATCATGCGGGCTCTGTGGCCCTTAGAAGAAAGTTGCTTCCAATCTTGGCACGAGATGCGGTGCTGTTACCGTGGGCACGAATCACTTTCCTCTGGATCCTTCCAGCGTTCTTCATTTGCTGCCAGGAATCATGTGTTGTTCTTTGGTCTGTAAGCACAAGTGCATCTCTTGCTCCGTGAGAGTTCAGTTTCATCTTGAACATAAACACCTTCAGTGTCGGGAAGAGGTCTGTCCTGACCTGCCTCCTGAGACTCTGTGTAGAGTTAGTATAAAGGCCTTGCATAGACATCATGTCCAGTCCTCTCGGGCGCAGGGGTGGCCACAAGCGGTTCTAGCCTTCATCCTGGACTCTTTTTTCTCATCCTTTGCATTTCTCCTGGGTCCCTGAATCCCAGCCTGGGATGAGAAACCACTGTTCCTCACTCCCCTTGGTGCCCCTCCCCACCAGACACCACGTGGCGGATGGCCTTCTAAGGGGGCTTTCAGAGGGTAAAGAAGCAGCCCACTGCAGCAGGGAGGGACCTAGGCTGACAACCCACAGCAGTCCTCATTGATCGCGGGGACTCCTGGCTTGTTTCCCCAGCCATGAAGAACACGCAGCAGGACCCACCCCCCACAAGCCCAGGTACTTCTGGCCTCAGGTTCCATAGGGAGTTCTCAGCACACGCTTGCTTCTTTACCTCCTGTTCTCTTCACGCTTTTCTGTTTTCTGTCCGTCATGTTTTGGCAACCAGAGCTAAACGTGGGTGGCCAGAGGCCCGCTGCGTGGCCTTGTAAGGCTTCCCTGGAACCTAAAAGTTGAAGACTCAGAGGAGCAAGACTGGCAGTTGCCCCCTTCACCAAGAGTCTGACGTCCAGGTTTGTCCTGGGTAACGTCGCTGAGCGCCAGGGTAGGCAGTCACACCCACAGTGATGTCATCAGGCTGACCAGCGCTACCTTCTACCCAGGAGGAAAGAAAGAAAAAAGTTCATAAATCTCTATTTAAGAATAAAGTATTAACTTTTGGGTAACCCAGGTGAAGGGAGGAATTCGCTAGGAGCTTGCTAGGCCTGACATTTTCTCAATCTAAAATTAGAAATAAGTTTTGTAAGAAATGATTTGAGCAGGGGCTCGGTAGCTCAGTGGCTCAGAGCACTTACTGTTCTGGCAGAGGACCTGGGGTGGGTCGTCAGCACCCACATGGCGGCTCACAACTGACTCACAGTAAATCTAGTCCCAGGGATCTGATGCCCTCTTCTGACCTCTCCTGCATGCATATGGTACACATACGTACATTCAGATACACACAGACAAGCACACAAGCACACATACACATAAGCACACATACACACATTAAAAATACTAATGATTCGAATAAATTCTTTTCCAACTCTTTAGAAGGCAACAAACGTGAGAGGGATTTCATATGCTCTAATTTTCTTTTGCATTACAAAGCTTTGCCAGTCTTTGAGTAGCCTTCTAGGGCTGGAGGACGCTAAATCTCGTTTGAGAGATCTGCCAGACTGGGCAGGGCAACTCTAGTGGGAAACGGGGGTGCATCCTGTTAGTTATCCAAGAGATTGCCAGTCTAGGAGGAGCGAGGTGAGGGGTTGGTGAGGGAGCAGAAGTGGAAGGAGACCTAGAGCTAATGGGAGGGTCTCGTGAGTCTCGGAGCTGCCTAAACTGGAAAATGCCGTCTGGGTAAGCTGACATGGGAAACGCTGGCACAACAATTCCACATCGGCTCTCATCATGAAAACCACAGAAACGATGCCATTGGCCCAAGAATACAACTCATAAACGATGAAGCCAGGCCCGCACCTAGGTGCTTCTTTCTGAAGTGGGTAGCATTTCAGTGAACACAGCGCTCTGGATGACGGCCCACAGCTGTCTCCTGTGCTTTTCTTCTGTGGACCCCAGGCCTGTGGAATTTGTCTTGCTTTAGCCGTTCCCAGATTGTCCTTCTCTTGACAGCTGCCCAGGCTGGCTGCGGTGGACAGTTCCCCGGGTTCATGCAGCCAACTTGTTACCTGGATGAACACTAAGCCGGACATCCCTGTCACACAGAGACTCACGAGATAGGACCGGCGAGGTTTGGGGTTAGAAAGAGCCATGCTGCCTCCTGACTTCCTAATGCTGATGTCCTGTGAGAACTCCGGAGACTCTGAACCACTTTTATGTGGCTGAGCTGCCGGGGGCACTGCACTTGTGCCCGGACAGCAAATGAGCTCCATTATGTAAGCAGGTCCCAGTGAGGCTTTGTTGAGAGGCTGTCAGTCTCCAGAGTGTGGACGAAATGTAAACTCAGATCTCTCTGCCCCACTTTCGCCTGCTGTTCAGGACAAGGTAACACAGGACGAGCCGTGCCTTCACTTCTGAGTTAAAAGTCCAGTTCCCTCCATAGTCCGGATGCTGTTGTTCGTCCCGGTGCCCCCCCCCCCCCCTTCTCTCCCCATCCTCTAGCTTTCTCCAGCCTCTACTCCCGCTGGCTGCTGTGGCGTTGCTCACAGACCTTGGGCGTGGTCTAATGTTGTCCTAACTTCTTGTCTTGGAGCAGAGCAGCACTTCCCGGAGGTGATGCTGGGGGAAGAGTTTCTGAGCTTGAGTCTGGACCAGGTGTGCAGCTTGATATCCAGCGACAAGCTGACGGTCCCTTCAGAAGAGAAGGTACTGTGCCCTTCTTGATATCCAGCGACAAGCTGACGGTCCCTTCAGAAGAGAAGGTACTGTGCCCTTCCGGTAAAACATGAATCTTACTTTAAAAATAAAATCCTTCTGAACCCGGACAAACGGAATGCCTGCTACACTCTGAACCCGTAAAGAAGTGTCCGGGCGCTGAGACAATGACAGCCCTCGGGTGGCCACGCCCAGCACCAAGTCCGTCTTCTGTCTTTTAGTTCTTTCTGCCTTCGATGTAGCCCTGGTGCAGGCTTTGCTGCTGTCCTGTGTTCTAGAAAAGAATCCCAGATCAGACTCTTTCTGCACCAGGAAGAATTTCTTTGCTCCAGGAGTTTGCATCTAGGGCAGTAAAAATCCCATGAACCCCAGGTGTTAGCCAGCAGGGGCCACACCGCGTCTCTAGTTTATTAACAAATCAGCTGTGTGATCTTGGGAGCGGTGCTTTGACTGTCTGCATCAGCCCCAGTCCCTGGGGACAATGGCATCAACACATTCCTCCAGGAGGCTGTGGGGACGAGTGGAATGATGTACTCTATAAAATGTCTGAGTTAGTGGCCGGGAGGGAGTCAGCATTAGCCAAGGCTATCTCCACCCTTCCCATCTGTGGGGTCTGTGGGTTCTTCTGTATCCCAGGACACTCCTCCTCTCTGTTGTGCTTAGCTCTGAGATAGGCTTACCCACGATGCAGTGCGGAGTTCTCAATGCTGTGGAAGCGCATCTCAGGTATTTTCTTCATCCCCAGAGAGTCTCAAATTGTTTTCTTCCCAAATCCTCTTAGTCCACTCAGCATTCAAGTGTCAAGCCCTTTCCTGAGGAAACGTTCAAGGAGAGACACTTACAGAGGTGTTTATATTGCAGTGGTTTGTCTGACGGTGTGTGTGTGTCTGGAGGAAAGTTTGGTTGAGAACAGCTGTGCTTAGAACTGTGACTCCCGGGCTCCACCGGACATCTATCAGGTGACCGGTACACGATACAACAAAGTAGACGCTGCCCTGGGCTCGGGGGCCTCTGATGCCATCAGCACCATAGAAACACCCCCTTCAGAGAGAACAGTGCCTCCAGCCCGGCTGCAGGCTCCTCCCTGCTGCAGCCCCAGAAGCTAGGTGGACACTTGTGATTCTTGCTAAACCTATTGACTCTCCTGGATGGATTTTTGCTGCCAGATTGACACCACTGAAGGATATGAACTGTGCTGGCTAGTTTCTGTCAACTTGTCACGAGCTAGAGTCATCTGAGAGGAGGGAACCTCAATAGGGAAAATGCCTCCATGAGATCTGGCTGCAGGCAGGTCTGTAGGGCATTTTAATTAGTGATCGACATGGGAGGGCCCTACCTGTTGTGGATGAGGCTACCCCAGGTGTGGTGGTCCTGGGTTCTATAAGAAATCAGGCTGAGCAAGTCATGGGGAGCAAGCCAGTGAACAGCGCTCCTCCATGGCCTCTGTATCAGCTCCTGCCTCCAGGGTCCTGCTCTGTTTGAGTTCCTGCCTTGGCGTCCCTCAGTGGACGATGATGTAGAGTGTGTAAGCTTTTATTTATTTAAAACAGTTCTTCCCCAACTTGTTTCTGGGGCTTGGCTTTCTAGAATCCATGCACGCTCGCCCTGCTCAGAAAGCGCAGTGAGTCTGTTTGCTGTGGCAGGGTGGAAGGCCTGGAGGTACTGTACCAGGGCAGATGCTTCACTGTGCCCTGGAAACCACCAGGGCTCGGGATTCAGTCTCTGGACCCAGTCTCTGCTTGCCGTCTGTGTGACCCTGGGAACTATGCCGAGAGCACCTTCCTCTGGGAGTTGGCGTGAGGACTAGAAGGGACAGAAGAAAACCCAGTGCTGTTCTCCAGGCGCTCAGTTAGTGACGTTTGTGAGCACAGCTCTGACCACAGAAGGAAGAAGAGGTTTCTCCCGGAGCCAAACATGAGCAGCCATGGCCCAGGAACGCGGACCTGGGTTGCCCCAAATACTGTGTTCTAACAGAGGAATTTATTGAAGTCTTTAAAAATATATATAGTAACGAAACAAAGAAAGCCATAAATCACCACACTTTTCAAATACATTGGTGGGGACATCAGGTTGGCAGTTGCAGCAAGGCGGGAGGGCTTGTACTGTAGGCCTCAGAGGCTAGTGGATAATAGCCTTAGCCTTCGGGTGGTAGACACTCGGGGTCCGTCTATATGTTTCAGAAGAATTTACTCAAGAGTCACAAGGGTGTTAGGTGACGCACAGAGCTGGGCACAAAGTGGCTGGTTTTGCTTAGTTTTTAAGATTTGTGTATTTGATGTGTCGGGATGTTTTGCCTTCCTGTGTGTGCACCGTGTGCAGGCAATGGCCGCAAAGGCCAGCGAGGGCAATGGAGTCACTAGAGCTGCAGTTATACAGTTGTGAGTTACCATGTGGGTGCTGGGAATCGAACCACGGTCCCCTGGAAGGGCAGCCGATGCTTTTAACTGCTGTGTCATCTCTCCAGCTCCAGTCGGCAACCGAAGAGGCTAAGACGGCCCAAGCTAGTTTGGTTCTGCATCGGTGACGTTTCAGCCTTTCCCTAATCGCCGAAGATCTAGTCCATCAGCCCGGAGGATACTCAGTGTCAGTGCAGGGGCCGCTTCCTTTTCAGGTACTTCCGCTAAGGCCTCGGAATTGTCACAGTTCTGTATTTTGAGGTACCATTGTTAACGATGATGCAACCAATATGACAAAGTCATGATAATGTTAAAGGTCAAGGTGGCTGAGTGGCTAAGGCGATTGACAGCTAAAATGTGCTCCTGAGTCCGCTGCGTCTTTCCCGTGGCAAGGGAAGCATGAATTTATAGTGGCTGTCATGTACTTAGGGAGGAATTGCTCTTTCTAAAGTCAGGTTTTGCATGTGTATATGTATGGTTGCATTGATGAAATTCTGCTCAAGACCCATCCCTGGAAATTGTCAGGGCTTTCAGATTTAGGGACGCTTGTCCTAAAGTGAATTGTGATGGTTGATTTGTCTACTGAGTAGATTAAGAAACGCGTAGGGTGTTAATGCCTTGGGCATGTCTGTGAGGGCTTCCCTGGGAGGAATCGCTGAGAGGAAGATCCACCCTGAAAATGAGCTGGCATCATCCTGTGGGCTGGGTTCCAGACTGAATACAAAGGGGGGTGGAAAAGGCTGTGCCAGCCTTCCTCACTCTCTGCTTCCTGTTCTGTGGAGCTGGGAACCAGCAGCCTTCTCAGCATGACGGGAGACTGTAGCCAAATGAACCTCTTTCCTCTTTTCTCTTAAATAGACTCTGGTCTGACATTTTGTTTTCTAATGAAGGAAGCAATTAATACAGAAAATTGATATTAAGAAAACTTGTCATTCTTGGACTAAACCTGACCCTGGGGTTGCTGGGGCTTTGAAACTACTCAGCCTGGGGGATGTGAAAGAGGTTACAGCTTCAGGCTAGCATACCCCTAGAACACTGTGAGTTTAGCCCAGCATGCCCTGCAGGCCATGCTAGATCTTGGGGATCTAGGAAACCAGGCTGATGCTGAAAGTGTAGACAATAAAAAGGTGCTCTTGACATTTTAGGGTGCAAAAGGGCTGCATGAGGAACCAGGTTGTAAGGCATTCATGTTCCATTCTGGCAAAGAGTCTGGCTGCTTTTTGCTTGTGTCCTGAGCGTAGGAGTGGGACTCAGTTTATAGGAAATGGATTAAGTTGTTGGGAGGAGGCAGTTCCGGGACAGCAAAACATTCAGGCTGTGGTGTGGCTGCAGTTCACTGCTTTTAGTTAGATTTAGTGTGTGTGTGTGTGTGTGTGTGTGTGTGTGTGTGTGTGTGTGAGAGAGAGAGAGAGAGAGAGAGAGAGAGAGAGAGAGCGGAAATATGTGGAAAATGTGTAGCTTGGTGAAGAAAGGAATATGGGTGCAGCTGAACATGTAGACAGCACAGACCAGGCAGGTGTGGGCACAGCAGCTCCAACTGTAGAAAAGTAGTGTCATTTAGGACCCGCCTCCCACACTTTGCAATTGGGACAGTAGGAAATTGCCTTAAGAGCAATACTCCACCCATTGGAAGCTTCAGGGTATGACAGTAAAAATGCGTTTGAAAGCAAACAACATCAGAAAGAGAATGCCTGAACCGAGACAACCCAATCAGACAGGGCGACCTGAAGAGGCATTTCCCAGGTTCAGCAACAGAGGTGCAGTGAGCCTTGGCTGTTGTTCAAGGGGCCAGGTGCCACCATGAGCCAGCAGCAGACTTTGACATCATTTGCATGAGACTGGTCTTGGAGACATCCAAGACACCAAAGTGAAGAAAGTTCCAGAAAGCTACCAAGGCCAGGCCACCAATAGCAGGATCAGATTCCCAGCTTGGAGAACACCGGGGAAGACTTGGAATGGAAGCTGAGAAGGTTGCAATGGGGATCCCCAACTGTAGACGCCAGAAGCAGGACGCTGGCTGAGGCAAGCTGCAGGTACCGAGTGGAGCTGACCCTGGAGAGAGGCCACAGCTGTAGCAGCAACAGTGTTGCAGGGCAGAGGCTGCTCATGTCAGCTGTGATGCCAGAGGCCCCAAGTGTCGGTCTTTTCCCTGCTGCTTCTTTCCTAGCCTCCTGTTCCTCTCTTTTGGGCTGGGATTGTTTACTCTTTGACTTTATGAATGGGATGATAGGAGACTTTCAGGGCCATGGGTGGAAAGCTGTGGTTTAAACTGATATGTTTGGGTGTTGAGTTGGCAAGGGGTGGGCTGGTGATGGTAATAGTGGCGCACGCCTTTAATCCTAGCACTCAGGAGGCAGAGGCAGGCAGATCTCGGTGAGTTCGAGGTCAGCCTGGTCTACAGAGCTAGTTCCAGGACTGGTTCCTTAGCTACTGAGAAACCCTGCCTTGCCAAAAAAAAAAAAAAGAAGGAGGAGGAGAAGGAGGAGGAGGAGGAGGAAGAGGAAGAGGAAGAGGAAGAGGAAGAGGAAGAGGAAGAGGAAGAAGAAGAAGAAGAAGAAGAAGAAGAAGAAGAAGAAGAAGAAGA